ATCAGATTCAGTAATAGTGTTGGCTCGTTTAACATGGGGCTATTCATGCATATATATATATATATATATATATATATTGGGGCCATTGAATGAGAACCCCTTTGGCAATGGTGCATGAACCTATGAACTCATGACCCAATCTTTATACTCATCAAATATGTTACACAAATATAACATGATAAAATTATGTATCATGGCTAGTACTGTCCTATATGTTTTCATGTTGGATTATATGTTGTGGAATCTGAAACTTGTGGATTCATGTGTTAAACATGAGTATTTTGTGCTGGTCAAGTTCAAGTGGTATCTATGCCCATTTGGCCAAAACTTTTTAAAGACAATTTTGACATCAATTTCTAGTGACCATTATGTCTAAAAAATATATATATATATATATATATATATATATATTTCATCTAATATTTGAAATGCCCAAAAATAATAGATGTATTGTAACAGTAACATTTAAACATTGTAATATTAAAAAAAAATATCGATTTGAGATTGAGGTACATATGTTTAACACACTGTCCTAAGGCAGATTCTGTCTTCTACCCTTGTCTTTCACTATCAGAAGACAGCAATTTAAGTATGATGTTTATAGTAAGATAAAATTTTGTATCCACGTTTATAACTAAGATATAATATAACTATAAAGGAAAAAAATGACTTCTAATCAAACGATGCTACAGAACGCAAGATTTTAGAAGAAGAAAAGTTGAATAACGTGAATTTGTACAAAAAAAAAAAAAAAAAAATGTTGTTATCTGATTTTCTTTATCGTATATAGAACTACGTATTTATAGTCAAATGAATAACTTTTATCAACTTCAACTAAAGAATATACTCCCTTCGTCTAAAAAAAAAAGTGTCACTCTTTTTATGACGGAAGGAGTAATAAACTAATAAACATGTTTGTTGAAAATTTCTTGAATTTCAGATTTTCAACATCATACTCTATGAATAGTTGTTAAAAAAAATCATTTAGTCCAAAATTCCAACATTCGGCCTTTAAATTAAAATTTTCGACTCGAAGTATTTCGGGTAGTTATTTATGGACAAAATTCTATATTTACGGATAAATAAAATTCAACAACCTATAAACTCTGTATAAATGAAATTCGATAACCGCACACAATTCATTATTTGAATATTTATCACCACTCTTGCCAATTAGCTTTGTTGCATAATTGGATCATGCGTATATAAGTATATGGCTACATGTACGTACCAATAAGCCAATTAGTTTTGTTGCTTAATTGGATAATGCCTATACGGCTATATATAGGTACCAGATAAGCACAGCTAAGCACTCATTCATTCGTCATAAGATTGTATTAATTAAGAAAATCTCTTGTATGATTTTACTTTAACAAAGCAAGTGCATGCATCTTTTGATCTATCATTTAATTCTTTGTTTGACACAACTACAATGACACACAATTACGGAACTTTAATCTTAATAAGACAAATGCTTTTAGGATGGAGTAAGAGAGAGATGGCAAAAACATCTTACCTCCCTGTCAAAATTACTTTATACTTTTGCTTTAACTCCAATCTGGAGTAATATTTCTTCTTTAAAATGTGATCAATAATAATTTAAAACATATTTAATAATATATATTTGTTGTAAAATTTTTGAAAATAAAAATATAACAATATGTTTGGTAAAAAGTGTTATAAGTTTAAAAAATTAAATAACTTATTTAAAATATCATTTAAATTTTTTTTTTAATTTTTTTTTTGTTGAATATTCTCTAAAAACTCAAGATTATAGGTGTAATTCAAAGATCCTTATCTGAATTTGCAACGTTTTCGTTTTGGTTTGGGTAACAGTATTTAACTTTGGTGGGGTTCTAGACATCTTCCGAGCGAACGTTAAGTATGACATCAGATTAAGGTTGAAATCTATTTTTGATACCAATTATAAAAAGTCGGGCAGCGTACCTTCTAACCCCAAAATATAATCTACTAGGTTGTGCTGCATACCTACCCAAGGGCTGAGGTGAGTGCCAGCAGGGGTCATGGCCCCCCAACATATATACGCATACATTAACTGTACTTTTATCTTACCAAAAGTGAAACAGTAGCAAATGTTATAAACCTTCAAAATCTGTAATCATCTTTATTGATTCTTTCTTATTCATGGTGGTACGTCCTGGTAAGAAGCTATAAGAGATTAAGTACTATGTAAGTTTCACTCTCTCTCCTATTCTTCTCTCTATTTTTCTTAATTAAAAAAACCCCAAAGATATAAATGTTAACATAAGAGTTATATATACACCGTATATTAAATTTATTTGTCATTACATATATGTATATGTGTATTTAATATAAATAATGTATGTATATCAATATATAAGAATATTGAAAAAAAAAAAAAATTAGGATTTTGATTTTAAATATTTTGATTGGTTTGCAATCAATAACGTCCGTAATGAATGTGTTTATCCTAATTATGTAGCTTGAATCAGTTTAGATTCGTATATTTGATTAATGAGTTTGTTGTGATTTCAAAGCCTTAACTAATTTATATTAGTCTATTTTCTTTAATTAATGGATTGGATTCATTTTAATTGTTGAAATCATTATTTTTGAGTATATATAATTTATGGTTTGCAATATTTCAAGCTATTAGTTTAGATTCACATGGTTCTCTAACTTATTTTTTGGTTGTGTTTTCTAAAAAAACATAAAAAAATTGATCTTTTTTGAATTATTTTTGTACATATCTATGTCATATTTGACTAGATATAGGCAAAAAAAAAAAAAAGGGTAATATATTTTATTAGTGTGCTTTCTAAAAAAAAAGATTAGTCCTTTTTGAATTATATTTGTACATATCCGTCATATTCCCATCCCCCGACCTTGGATCCTTGCTCTGCCTATTACTCACCCATTTTACTTCCCATACAAATCTGACGTGGGACAACCCTAATAATAAGTATCATTTTGCTCTTATATATCAATTGGTGTTTAAGTGTAACCTATGTATTAAGTAACCGCATGTGGACGCCAGCAAGTGTAAACTGTTTAATTTATTGTGTTTTGATTGCATGTAAGTGTGACCTGCACATAATACACGAATTGAAAATTGAATTCACAAACTCTTATATTTGAATTGGTGAAATTTGGTTGAATTCATGGATTAGCTTCCAACTATGCCAATTTCCGTGTAGGATTTGAGAGCAGTCATATGCTATTCATTTAAAATTTTTATTTATTCATTTATTTTTCATTAATTATAAGAAGTATTAATTTATCTCACATTAAATTTGGATGAAAAGTAAAATGAGTATTAATAATAAGTATGCAGCACTATCCAATAATTTAAACATTTAAATAAATGTGCACACACCACCTGTTACACCCATTGACCACATATATGTAGTTAATTATGCCCCACTATCATTGCATCTTACAAAAAAATGGTGCTATCTTATGTTGTATTGAATTATATATATTTCCCTAGTCATAACATGGTCAATACATGCGTGCCTATGATGAATTTTGGCTAACCAAAACTCCTATAAATTAACCTCACATAGCTTGTCAACCAAACAAAATATATATATATATATATATATCATTGTAGGTTTAAGCTTTTTGGCATTGAAATCAAGAAAGAATCAAGAAAATTTTGAAAATCTTTCAACGTTCAAAAAAATGTTTCATCTGAAGTTGTAGGAGACTAATGAAATATATAATTGTTTAGTTTATCTTAATGCATGTTATGACTATTATATAGGTCCATACATATATGTATTGATCATATAACATGCTTTTCTAGGTGGGGCCAACAAAATCAGGTTTGGTCTTTGTGTTGTGGCTCTACAATAAAAACGAAATATGGTTGAATGCATGCACACACACTGATAGTGAACTGATTTTAATATATAATAAGATTGTTTGAATCACTTTTAGTATTCTCGCTAGTACTTTTATGTTTTGACACACTTCACCAACTTCAGAAATTTCTAGGAAAATCTCTGTCTTTTCCTTCTTCTTTTTCTCCACTTTCAAAGATGTTTTTATGTGATTCAATATTCAGATTCATATAATCAATATATATATTCAATCAAGGCAGGTGGAGTTTACCTCTTTCTTGGAAGCTGCATGCTAGAGAATGATGTTTAGAGTGTGCACCTAGCTCCAAAGTCTTGATAGTCCAAGTTCCTTCTTTTGGACATGGGCTATCAAAATGGGCCGAGAATTGAAGAAAAGAGAGTGACAATTGGATTGGGCTTTAATATATGTATTGATCATATAACATGCTTTTCTAGGCTTGGACCTTTTACAAATATATGTATGGGATTAAGAACAGAGCTTTCACTTTCCCAAAAAAAAATAAAAAAAGGATTAATAACACAGCTTTTTTTTTTTACCAAGGTTTTATGGTTTATTTATCCATGATTACTTCTTCAAAGGGATTCATTTTATTACATGATAGGTTAGAAGTAGGCTGATCTCCAATTTTATTTATTTATTTATATAATTATATTTTTTGGATAATTGCGGTTTCGAATAAGTACCAATAAAACTACATACACCACATTCACCAAACGGACTTATTATTATTATTTTGGTTGAATTGAAATGAATAAATTTCTATTCTTATCATATTCGCTATGATTTCAATGAAGATGATGTATTTCTAAATTAATATGCTCTATGTAAAATTTCTCTGTTTTTTGGGTCAACCAAACGGTCCAAGCAGTGCCTAACAAAAGAGTTACTTAATCTTAAAATGGATCCAATGTTCAATACCACACATCTCATAATATCTGACAGATTCAATAAACAAATTTATTTATTCATTTACTTTACGTATAAAAGCACTTCAGAACTCTTCTAAAAATGACCTGAGTCATAAATTTTTTTTAAACTAAATTCAAATTAGGTGCAAAGTAATTTCAAGTCGTGCAATTAATCATAAACTAGTTTAAAAAAAAAAAAAAAATTATCCAATTAAATGTTCCGGCAACAATGACATTTGGACCTTTACAAATCAATATTTAAATGCTGACATAGCTCATGGAAATCATAGAGGAGTTCTGCATGCAAATTCAGTAAACACATCAAAAATCTCCTACGCTGAAATCTCTCAAACACTGAAATCTCCTCTGTTCTGTAAATCGAGGAACCACCACCATTTCATATGTGGAAAGAGTGTCCTCCTCATAAGACCAGTAATGGCTTGGTCCTGCTACTGCATCGTGACATTTTTGTTTACCCTTCTCCCCTGCATGGCCGAGTCCTGTCTCATCATCTTCAGTGTCCATTTTGGTACGCTTCTTAGCTTCAATATACACCGGGATGACTCCACACTTGTTCACAATCAACTCACAACCTGCATCTATTTCAATTTCCACTTCGTCTCCACCATTCACCTCAAATTTTTCAAGGGGTACATAGCTCAACGTTAGGTAGTCATGTGGGATTGGTAATACACCATAAATCGGATAACGGACACATGGAGCACAAAAATCCTTGGTTACATTGGTAACACTAACAATATATTTTGCTGTACTGTTGGCAAATTTGAAATCACGTGCTGCATATATAACAATTAAAACGAAGCCTTTCATCATACTCATATTTTGAGGCACTTGAATTGACAGTACATTACCTGACCTCTGATTACTGAACCAATCCGGAATTTCAGAGCAGGAGAATGTAATGTCATCGACTCTAGTACCTCCATATCTTCCATACCATTTCTGCACAATTAGAATGATCGATAATGTGTAAGGTAGAGACATGCACAGAAACACACACAAACACATGTTATAAACATTGAGACTTTGAGAGAGAGACCTGCAGTACATTCTCCGTCCAAGGGAACTCAACTAGTTTGCTGCAATTCCATAGAAACATCAATGGGGGGTGTGAGAAGTTTGATAGATCCGGAAATCTTTCGAATGATGAATTTGAAGCAAATAGAATTGTCAAACTTGATGGAAGGTCTGGAAGTGATCTAAGGTTTCTACAATGGCGCAAAATGAGGACTTCAAGCTTACAAAGACTCTTGATACTAGCTGGTAGACTGTACAAACCGCTGTGAAAAAATTCCAAATATTTTAACGAGGATAAACTCCCGATGTCGTTCAGAACCGTTGATACATTATGGAGCCTCAATCTCGTTAGAGAGGTTAACCCCAACAACGAATTCAGCAATGACATGGGCATGGATGGTGATCCTTTACTACCAGATAGAGCCAAATACCGAAAGTTCTTTACCCGCACTATGGAAACTGGTAGTCGTCTTATAGCAGTTCGGGAAGCAGAAAGCAAAACTAACGATTCGATTTCCCCAATCTCCTCAGGCAATTTGTCAATTTTCAGGCATCCAGAGAGCCGAAGACGTTCAAGAGATTTCAACATACAGATGCTCCTTGGGAGATTCCTAAGGTTTGCACAATCTTTCAGGTTTAGGGACCTGAGTTTATCTAGACTTCCAATGGATTCGTCAATCGTTTTCAAACATCTACAATCTTCAAGTGTTACTTTCTCAAGGTTTGGGAGTGTTGAGAAGTCGGTAGTGATTCTGGTCAGAAAATGGGAATGACTTATATCAAGTATTTTCAACTTTCCAAAAACCTGTCGAAAGAAGATTTAGAGCACATAATTAGTTGAAAGTGAAATATACAATTCAAACTGAAAAAGGAAAAAATTAGGCAATCACTAGTTTATTCAAAGTGCTAATTATACCTTCTTTTCCTTCCAAAATTGTCTTAGGTTGCTATGTTGCATGTCAATAGCAATTAATTTCTCTTGATACAAGTTACTTGGTATAGAATTTAGAGGGAATCCATGCCAGCATAGCCATCTCAAATTTTTAGGAAGATGTTCATAGCCTCCAGTGATGTTTACATTCTTCAGTTGTAGCAATCTTAGTTTGTGCATCCCCGCAAACGCTTCACCCCTCAAAACAACTTTATTTGGTCCATCCATATTTAAGGCGAGGCCTTCAACTTGGTCTGTTCCCTGATAAAACATGTGAAGCTTAAGCATTTATGTTTATGCAAGTGAAAAGAAATTGAAATAAGCATAAGCATTAATGTTTATATAATTATAGTTGTTGCATTGGTTTCTTCACTTCAACATGAATTCTTGAAAACAAATTCATTCGGTTAAAGCCTTACCTTGCAATTTGTTACAGCTTCAAGAGCATCTTCCCAATGCCACAATCTCCTACGTTGTCCAGGATTGTCAACAGATCTTTTGCAATCAATTTTCCTTCCCATGTCTCTCAGCAGATCATGCATCATAAGCTTGCCTTCGTTTATTGTTAAAAGGCATCTACGAGTGAGGACACCAATACCGCTTGTTGCGTAAAAACCACACGCATCAAGTATTCTTGAGACATTGTATGCTTCCATTCCAATAAAGAAACATGCAATATCAAGGAATATCTGTTTTTCATGATCATCCAGTGCATCAAAGCTGATTTTAAGCTTCTCTTGAATTTTAGCATGAGGGTTTTTTCTAAATTTCTCCAAAGTATTTTCCCATTCAGCTATGCTTTTGAACTCTCTTAGATATGAACCCAAAACTTCAAGGGCTAAGGGCAATCCATTGCAGTAACCTACTACATCTTTTGAGAGCTGAACATAACATTCCAAAGGACCAGTTCTCTTGAAGGCATGCAAACTAAAGAGCTTAAGGGATTCATCGGCATTCAATTCCTTAACCATATACTTGCTGCTTACCTCAATGCGTTCTAGCAAATGCAGGTGCCTCGTTGTTATGATGATTCTACTTCCGGGACCAAAGTATTTTTTTCTGACACTGTCTGATTGGCACCTGAATGCATTTAGTTGTTCTAGTTGATCCACATCATCAAGAACAACAAGAACCCTTCTATTGCACAACCTATCTTCTATCACGTTGATTCCTTGATCAACATTGCGCACTTTTCTGGCATCTATCTGTAGTATTTCAGAAAGAAACTGCTCTTGCAAATGAATGATTTTTTCATTCTGCATTGAATTCTCTCTGACGTTTGCCAGAAAACTTTTGCTTTCAAAACTATGGAAGAAATGGTTAAAAACAGCTTTTGCGAGAGTTGTCTTCCCTATTCCGCCCATCCCATATATACCCACTGTGAGGACATCAGGAGTTTTGACACTCAACAGAGATTTTATGTAATCCATACGAGCATCGATTCCAACTAGGTGGTTGGCTATATGTAAGTAGGTGTGATTCAATACACTCAGAATTTGTTCAATAATTTTCTTGATGAGCTCTCCTTCATACCTGTTTATGATGTTTCAAGAAAGATAAGTGTGTGTGTGTAAATATATATCAGGCAAAAATCAATAAAGATGAAAAATAAGAAAAAAAAAAACTTGAATAAACTTTCAAAAAGTTCCTGACAAATAAGAATATAAACTGCCAAGTGGACTAACATATCAACTGACTGTTATATCATTTATGGAGCAGTAATATACTAATATGCCAGAGAGGATGATTAAATTTATAGAAACATACACCAGAGATGATGCAAAGGAAATCAAAATATAAGCATATATATGTTCTAGCATTTATTAATTAAGATTACCCGTCAGTGGCATCTAAATCCCACCCAGATAATTCCCCTGCATCAGCCAAAGCTGCCCTCCAACTCGACACCTTGTTTATGTCCACCTTTTCATGTTTCGCAAATGCTTCCCCAAAGCTTCCAGTTTGTTTCCTCACATCTGATGGATTGACTTTGTAAAATAAGTCTAAAATTTTAAATTAAAAAAGAAAAGAAAAAGGAACCACATGCAAGTACCAAAATTCTAGAAGAGATCATTAAGCCATGATAATAATGATTGCAAAATGATAATTTATTTTGGCTTATGTAATAAATTTATTGAGAGAGACCACAAACACAAAACAAACAGAATAGATACAGGACACTCAAGTAGTACTCCAAATCCATCCATACCTGATGGAATGACTTTGTAAAATATGGGTAGTACAGTTACCAACAGAGGATATTGTTTTTTGCGTTTCATTATCTCCACAAGTTCATCCAAACACCATCTCGAAGTCGCATAGTTTTGGGAGAAAACAACCAAGAAAATCTTGGATCCATGAATTGCCTCCAAAAGCTTGGATGATATTTTCTCCCCTCTTTTGAGTTCATTTTTATCCCTGAACGTATAGATTCCGGCACCGTTCAGTCCAGAATAGAGGTGATCGGTGAAGTTCTTGCCGGTGTCTTCGCCTCTGTAGCTTACGAACACGTCATACCTCCATTTTTGAACTGGTGCGGAGGAGGAAGAAGCTTGATTTCTGCCTAACATGATGGCGCTAGGTTGCCATGGAAAAGTAGTTTAGAGAGAGAGACCTAAAGGTTCCGAGCCAGAGAAATATAATCCCTTGAACAGAGAAACTGATTTATAAAGTAATGGTTCTGAGTCAATTGGAAAAATGGGTCTATAATCATTTTAGGCGTAGCATTCAGATTCCAACGTCTTGGCATTCAAATTTGTAAAGAATGAGAAACAGTTAAAAGTATTTTTAATATAACTTCAGAATTTGTTTGTCACTAAAAAAGTAAATCATAAAGCACCAATTTTTCACTTGTCTTTTTGATCTTTACCTTACATCATTTAAGGTCAATCAGCCCCTTATTAACTGATTTTTTTGCCTCATGATCATTTATTAACTGCCCATTTCAGTGGGGACAATTGCTTCCCCTAATCTAAAAGTTTATTAACTGCCCATTTCTCTCTCTCTCGCCCTTTCTTCTCCAACAACGCAACAAGTTTTACCATTAGCTGGTAATTGATGTCAACTTTCAATGTGAACAGAGAATAGTTCATATTCGAAGGTAAGTTCAATGAATGGCTTCGGCTTCCCTCTGTTCATTTTCTTGATAAGGGCTCCACCATGTGAAAACCTTCCTCCCGAAGAAAAGTCAGTTTGAACAATTCCCATTATATATCTTTCTTCAAGGTTGTTGGAAATTTAGAGAATTTACCACGCCTTACCTAGAACAAAAATTGATTTTAAACAAACATTTAAAAATTGTAAATATAATATATTAAATTCATATTTATATTACAAAATATGAAAAATTATTCAGAATAATGAAAAGAATGAAAACTCAAATAGTGAATTATATGTTCATATGAAGATTGGTTGAATGCTTGGTATTCTTAAATTATTATTTAGTGATTTGTGACTGAACGAAAGCTAAATTGATTGAATGCTTAAACAAGTTCGGGAGAAATTAATATTTTATGGATAATAAAATGAATAATGTGCTTTCTGTCCTTGATAAGGGTACAAAAATCAATATTATATATACTCAATATATATATTTTTGTATTATTTATATTATGTAAATACTATTATTGAGATATTTTATGTTTTATTTGTAATAAGTAGAGAATTAGCAGAAAGCAAGCAAAAGTGGAGGATAAATGAAGAATTGAAGACGCAACTTAGTAGGTTATATATATTTATGGCCAAAGTTTAACTCCAGGAAGGTCCAGCAGGGTTGGTTGAGTAATTATACACTCAATCAAGACATCTAAAGAAGTGAAAGTTGAAAGCAATGATGAAAGCAGGTAAAGTCAAAAGTCAGAAAGCATGGGGATTATACAGAAGCGTGGAAGACCAATGCAACGGGAGCTATGATAGGTTCTTTCCGCTGGAGAAGTGCTCCGAGGAGCTAGCTAGTTCAATGCTTGCGAATTTATTTTCTGCATTATTTTCATTTTATGTATTTAAATTATGTATTTTTTTTTTTTATGTTAATTTAAATACTTTCTTAATTTCTTGTCTAGCAGATTAAATATTTTAAATTTCAGTAAATTAGTTTTCAAAACACAAAAAAATGGTTTCAATATATATTTTCCTCTCTAAATAATAATTTGAATCTAAGTTCCAATACGAAGTCTCAACTTAAATATGAGTTCGACTTTACTTATCGCTGTACAACTTTAGTAAAGTGATTGTAGGAGACTATTTTTGTATGGATTGAATGAAACAATGACAATAATTTAAAAATCAGTCCATGAGTCCTACAAGACTACAAGTAATTATATTAAAGAAATCATAACAAAATCTAACAGCATAATGCTAAAATTAACAGTAAAAGTCAATTATCTCTAAAAATTACAAAAAATGGGATAAAAAATGTAATAACTAAAAACTAGTAATTAATTATAAAAAAAATCAAAAGAATTTGAATTGGTTTAGATCTGTGACAAAAATTTGAAAATATTTAATATTTATTAGATGATGGATTTCAATTGAGCATACCTCAGCAACAAAGTTATTGATTTTCAGTTTCTAATTGGGAATGGTTCTTTTATAAAGAAAACGAACAAGTTAAAACTATCCAAAAATATTATTTTAACCGGTGTGTTTGATGTTCTAGTGGTCCAAATTATCTCCATAAACATCAAGAACCTGATCTTGGACACAATACTTCAGAAGTATTTTCTAAGAAATTTATTTTTTGTTTTCTTTCTCCTTTCTTTTCAATTTTCAATGTTCATATTCAATTAAGTGTAGGTAATCCTCTTTCTTGGAAGCTGCAGGATAGAGAAAGATGTCTGTGTGTGCAACTCCCACCATATTGATAAGAAAACATTAAATATTTTGGGGTATGATACATTGGGGTGGCTTGAATGTGATGGGTCTATCATTATTATGGTCCAACAATTTCTACCGTCCAGATATCGTACTCTAAGAATATTTAATATTTTCTTCATATTTGAGTTTGATCTCTTGCGAGTGTTGGATTGATATCTACACAATAAAATTAGAAAATATTTAATTCAAAATTTTTGAAATGATACCTCAACCGCAATATAAGTAACATTTAAAGTACAAATTCATATTTGGTCCGATGAGTGACAATATTCAAATGCTAATTTAAAAATGATTTTAAAATACCAGAGTGATTTACCAACTCTTTAGTTACATCATATTTTTGGTACATATGCTGGGATTTCTTTCATCTGATATCACTAATTGGGTTTGGCAAAAGAAATACATTCCATCATTTCAATTTACCAAAAGTCATCCGCATTTTCAGGTAAAGCATGGTCTTTAATCTTTGAGCAGACAATTACATATACATATATAGAGAGAGAGAGTGTGTGTGTGTAAAAAAGTAGAATATGATATGAAACAATTCTGCTTTTCACTCACGACCCACAAAAGTTGTCGAGTATAGTGATTAAGGCTTTTTAATTAGTCCAATTAATCGACACCAATCTCAATCAAAACAGACAACTTTTGATTTAATTATTGTAAAAAAAAGACTACTTCTGGTCTCGCTTGGTAAAATTAAGGGCTTTTACAATTGCTTTTCCCATTATTTATTGAACCAAGAAACATGACCGTACCTGAAGATGCAAGAATTTCCTTCTTTTCTTTCTCTCTCTAGAATTTTTACACCTCAACCCAAAAAGATCCCTCTCCTTTCCATTCAATATCCTATTTATAGATATTTACAAGATATTTACTAGATATTTACAAGATATTTACTGATTGCTGGGTCTGGGCCTATTCCTCCATAAGCCCTGGTCACCTTTGATGGGCTTACTCCCGTTCGGCCCATATGGCAGTGTCTTTATATGGGCTGACCCAGCTGTACGAACTGAATGTTGTGTTTGCGAGTCGGATCTGGCCCATGTCGTCCGGGGCCTCCTCAACTGCCCCCATAATTGCCCCCTATTTAATAAGGGGTAATTATTGATGGCGTCTCATCATGATGTTGACGGCTCGAGACAACCACGTGGGGGAGCGGACGGTCAGATCCAGAATCAATGTTCCGGGGCTCGAGGAATTTCTCGCCTTCCCGACGCTTCGGCCCTCGGGCCCCCTCGCCTTTATAATGCTCTAGAATTCCACTTCACTTCCCTTTACCGTCTCCATCATCAGCCAAGTCTCTCTCTTTCTAGAACAGTGCTAAGCTTTTTCTGGTGAAATCCTTCAAGAGTCATTCTTCCAGCGATCTTGCAGTCCTCCGAGGTTAGTTTCGTTCTTTTTACTTTCGGCAGGCTTCCATTTTCCCCCTTTTAGATTCTTCTAGCACTTCCACCATGGTTGTAGATCTGGATGTTCTTCGTATGAGACTTAGACTTCCTGACAACATCGAAGTTAGGGTTTGCCCCCAGGATGTTAACATTACGACCGGCGCCGGCCTCCTGCCCGGCGAAGTCTTATTCACGAACCTTCAATTGAATGTTGTTAGGTTCCCTCTGCACCCTTTCTTTAGTTATGTCTTCAATAGATTGGGGATATCCCCTCTGCAGGTCAACCCCAACTTCTTTAGAATCATATCTGTTATGCTCTTGTTGATGCGTGACAGAAATCTGGACCTCGACCTCATAGACCTCCTTCTGTGCTATAAGGTCAGTAAGATCCGTACTAACGAACCCTTCTACCACCTCTACCCGTTCGAGAAGATGTCCATATGTACTGACACAATAAAATCTGAGAAGGGTTGGAGGGATAGCATAGTGGGCATTAGTGGGGCTTGGTCTTCGCCGGCTGCAGAGGATTACCCAATCCCGAGCGCCTTTGGTGTCTGTTCTGTCTCCTCCTATAAAAAATTCAAATCTCATAAACATGACTGCCCCTGCGAAACATGCGTTCCTCGTTTTTGCACTTTCTTATGCCGTTCCTTGGGAATACCTTGTGATGACTTGAGCTATAGTGTTTGCAGGGATAGGAGTAACTACTTGAAGAAATACGTTCTGAACGATATTCCTTCCTGCTCAGATCTCCTCACTTTAGACAACCTCTTAGCGCTCTCATCACTCGGCTACAACATGAGCAGACTTCAGATTCCTTCTTTTGGCAGGAAGAAGAATACTCCCCCAGCCACTCCTGCTGCTGAGGCGACCTCCTCTCCAGCGTCAGCTTCTTCCTCAGCCACCATATCTGACACTGTCCCGAGCGCAGTGGGTATTAACCCTGCTGCCAGCGCCCCTGCTGCCAACCAGAACGCGTCCCCCCCAGCTACCATAGCTCCTGCCGCTGCGGGGGGCGGTCGGGACAAAGAACGAGGCAAAAGGCCTCATCCTGATAGTGAAGTCGATCCTGAGGAGGAGCCTCTCATTAGAAGGACCCGGGTATCCGGGCCGGGTGCTCTCTTGCACCGAGCGGTCAGAGCTCCTGCTCCCTCTGGGCCTGCTGCAGCTGGTGGCTCTGCTTCTGCTTCAGGCCCCTCTTCTATCCCCTCCTTACCGCCATGGGCCCCTCGGTATACCCGAACGGATGGGACGTTCGTGAAACCGAACGAGACCATGCTGAAGGATGGCCAGACCGCTATGGCCTACTACAGGAGCATGTGGACTCCGAAGGACCTTGAGGCGGCAAAGGGCCTTTCCCAGAAGGATGTGTTCAGCCGTTTTCCCCAATCTGCTATGGAGGTGACTTTTATTTTCTAACTCATGCATTCTCTCATATTATTTGGTCTTGCCTTCGCCCGACCTGACTATTGGCTTAACCGTTTTTAA